AAGATTTATTTTTGCCCTTACTTTTATTATTGGGATATATTTAATTAAATTTATTAAAAATCATTTATACTAATTATTGAATTAGCTAAATTATTTATTAATGGTAAAAAAAATTATATAAGTAATGTCTATTTATTTATTTTTAAATATTTAATTAAAATTTAAAAATTTAGTTTCAAAATTTAATTTTAAGAAAAATCATGAACTAATTCAATTTATAAAATATTTATTTATTTGAACTCAAACCTAACTCAACCCATACGGTTTAAGTCAGATTGATCAAAATTTTTGAGTTATCGGATTTTCTAAACACTCCTAGGACATTTAATACTCTATGTAAGATTAAGTTTAATCTCTGTTCGTCAACATGAGCATAACTCAATAAAAACTATTAAATATAATCTAATTTAATGTATAAGCACAGAACTAATTAACATAGCTCGTCTAATTATATAACAGATAGTTATCATAAAACCCGTACATTTCTATAGGTAGACAGTCACCAAAAACTTAAAACGATATTCAAAATGTCTTAATTTTATTTATATGACGTAACATCGAGCATCGCTTTATTTTGACAAATGTGGGATATATTTTTTTCGTTAGTGTTGAAATATTATTATTTTTTTAAATAATAATAATAATGGTTGTGGACAAAATTCCACTATTTAATTTCATTATCATCATAACATGAAAAATCAAGGTTTATTAATTAAAAGAAGAAAATAATAAAATTGAATGGTGTGGGATTGATGCAAGAGGGTGTGGGGACTTTTTATCTTCCAAGTTGTGCTTTTTTAATTGGTGGGAATTTTTTTTTTTAAAAAAAATATAGTGTGAATCCAAATATGAGATGGAATATTCTTTTTTAGCCATTATTTGCATATCCTTATCTTTCTTAAAAGACATATATATATATATATATATATATATATATATATATATATATGAAGAACCCTAGCGATTTTTTTGGAGAGATATATCTCGAGACCCTATCTTGTAAAGCATGTATTTCCATCCATATCGTAATAGCTTCATTAAGCTACGTGTTTGATGTACTACCAAAAGTTAATAATAATGTACAGTCAATTTATCTAAAAAAATAATCATAAATTTTCAAAAGTTTCAATAATACCCTTATCGTTAATGTGATTTGTTTTAAAATATCCTTAAAAAGTTTCACTAACACCTTTCCACTAAAAAAAGTTAAAGAAATATATTTACGGTTAGCACTGATAAATATATTTTTTTAAAGTTAAATTTTTTATATAAAAAAAAATTCAATTCAATAAAGGTTAAGAATTTAAAAAGGTTAAAAGGTGTGCTTTTTATATAAAACGAATGAAATGTACACTTAATATATATTTTTTAAAAAAGTTCTTTTAAAAAGTTTATAAAAAAGTTGGTATAAATGAAAATTTTAAAAATTGAATGGTATTTTTTAAATAAGTATGATATTCAAACTTTTAAAAGTTTGTATTTTTATAAATTTAATAGGTGCTGACCTCGTACTAATGGAGAGAGTATTATTTGATTATAAATTTACTTTAAGGGTTGTTTGATAGTTTATTTATATTATAAATAATATAAAATATACGATAATTTTATCCCGAATATATCTAATATATTTAAAAATAATATGAAAAATATAAATACTTGTCGATTAGTTTATTCCTATTATAAGTAACGTGTTTAAATATATTATGAAATGTTTGAGATTTTTTTATTTTATTTTAAAAGATAGATTTATGAAATAAAAAAAATGATATTTGTTGCAGTAAATAAATTAATAAAATAATATAAAGAAATTAAACAAAATAACGTTTAATTATAAAAAATAAATAATATAATATAAAAGGAATTAATATTTAACAAAAATAAATAAATTAATAAAATAATATAAAAGAAACAAAATATAATAATATTTAATAATAAGACCAAATTTGTTTGGTTGTCTAATGAACTCGAAACTCGAATTGATATTTGAGTTTAGAAAATTAACCCAATTCAATCCCTATAATTCGGGTTGGGTTGGTTTGGATTATCGAGTTCAATGTACACCCCTAATTGTTTGAGTCTCAACACAGTTCATTCAACGATAAATCTAATTTGAATGATTGATATTAGTTGACTTCTTGTCATAGCCAACCAACATTCGTTAAACAGTCCATTCTTACCTTCGGCCTAGCCGCCTTGACTAGTAAGCTTTAAATTTGGTCTTGATCAATAATCATCTAAATAATAGAGGTGTTAAAAAATCTGATCATCCCAACTTAACCTTTACCGTGTGTTTGAGTTGGATGGGTTCAAATAAATGAAAAACTTTATGGACTGAGTTGCCATTCACAAGTTTCTAAATATTAGATTGAGTTAAACGGGATTCGATGATTGCTTTGGGTTAGATTCAATATTGAATTACAATTTTATAGGTTGAAAAATTTTACAACTCGAACAAATATCCTGATCTAAATTCAACCAACGAACACCATACTAAATAGCTTGGAATGTCAAACCGTCTTTATTATAACGTTAAGCCATAAAAAAATTTACATCCCGAACAATTAGATTAAACTAAAAAAAATAATTAACTTGAAAATAATAACATCACATGCATGCACATGTTAAAAGATAAATTAACAATTTATTTTGTACTTAAATAAAAATGTGCAATTATGTTAATATTTATTTATATTACGCACGTGCTTAATATTAAAAACATTATGTCTTTTTTAATTCAAACTATATGTATATTAAAATATTTGAACGGCTTTAACTAATTTATGGACAAATTAAAAAATAAACACAGATCTAAATAGAAATGAATGAATAAATAAGTATTAAATATTTTTTTTTAAAAAAACAATAATATTCTATCCAAAATTAACTCAATAAATCCTTCAATGATGATTAAATAATTACTAAAATAAAATAATAATAAATAAATAAATAAATGAGCTACCAATTGAGTCATATGAACCTATAAATGGTAAAGTTAACTGATTAAAAAAGTTTATTATCAATAATCATTTTACTATAAATAGACAAATTATATTATTATATTTAATTACTATGTGGGTTAAGGGTTCGGTTTAGATATTGTGGAAGATACTATCAATCGAAGAGATAGACCAAACGATTGAATCCCAAACTCTTTCGGGCGGAACCTCCCAAATGGACGAAAATAGCCCAAAAAATAGGGTAGGCTAACCTTTCTTTACAATCTGCTTCGGACGCAGAAAGAATTCTTCAATTTATATGAAAATTGATTCCAACGTTCATGCATAACTTCCATACCAAGATTAGCACGAACCCAAGAGCCGTTTTATACCGTTAATTACATCTTGTACCTTAAATACAATTGATTATATAATGGACGATTTGTTTATGATCAAATTATAAATTAAATCACTCTGTAAGGATAAGACCTCATTGTTTAACTCATGGAATCGGTATTCTTTATAATAGGAATAAGTAAATTTCATTGTGTGAACATTATATTCCTAACTTCATGATATGAATAAAGATATCTCAATCATGGAATATAAAATTCAAAGATGTGGCGAAGAGAATGTTGTTCAAATGTTTATAAGATGTTACTATTCATGTCACGTTAAAAAATAATCAAACTTCATTTATTTTTAGATGGTTACAAAATTTGGATGACTAAATTTCTTTGCAATTCTATGTAGTTTAAGGTTATATGCTTAGAATTATTCGAACTTAACTTGATTATTTCAAACAAGTGTTCTTGTCTTGAGATGTTCGATTAATAAGGTAATCTAAATCTTACGTTTTCGATTCTCTCAGACCTGTTTTTCACATTATTGAGGGAGTTTGAGGTTGGTAAGGCTCATGTGTACTCAAATTAATTATTGTTGAGCTAAAAACTTGGGAATAATCAATATGTTTGGGTAAACTAAGTTTAATAATTTTTCCTTAGGGTGTAATATGGGCATGTATAGGTTTAAAGTGAACGATTGAAGGACAATCTCGAAGTAGCTATAAAATAGTTAGAGAGTTCGACCAAGGCCGAACAGGTAGGTGACTTCAATGGTTGGAAGAATTGTATGATATATGACAATGCATGTACCGTGGCCCTTTCATGCGTCATAATATTATGCTATGCTTATATATGCTATGTGATGACTTGTGATGCTATGTTATGTATGTATGCAATGTTCTATTATGCCATGATACATAATACTAGGTTATGATACAAAATGCTAGGTATGTAATGTCATGTCATGTCATGCCATGCCATGTGACGCCATGTTATAGATTATACTATATTATGATGATGCAAGATGAAAGTCCTGATGAGTACTATGCATACATGACTCATGTGTACTATGACATTAACGAAAAGAATAATGGATACGAATATGGGTTTTGATGAGTCCATGTTCACCATAATAGGGCCTTTAAAGTCGAGTGGATCCAACACTATCAAAAGGAAAGAATGATCCAACATATTTTAAACCAATCTAAGAAAGAATTTACACATGATTTGCAAATGAGGCCATGCACGAACAATTGAATAAGCTCATTCTCGACTATTGTATCTTATAAGAAAGATTTTAGTTCATTTTCAAAACGTTAGTCATAAAATAGATATACTAAAACATTCAAAACGCTAGTTATAAAATAGATATACTAAAACAAATACCGCAACCACAAGATTAGTAATTACGGATATGCTCATAATGCCATTTAGGCTTAAAATTTTTTATTAGAGATAAACAAACTCCAATCATCAAAGAGGTCAACTTACCCATGTGGTCTAAACGTTATTATCCATGTCTAGACGACGTGCAAGCTAGTACCAAAAGTTTAAAAGTTTGAAAACCAAATTTATTATTAACTTACAATATCACGTACCATAACTCAACTAGTTAGATAACTCAACTAGTTACGACATTATGCCAGTTGATGCATTTTTGTCGATAACTCAACTAGTTACGACATTATGTCAGTTGATGCATTTTTGTCGATAACTCAACTAGTTACGACATTATGTCAGTTGATGCATTTTTGTCGAATTCCAAAAGGGATTTCGGGGTGTACATACCCTTACGAAAACCATTAATTCCCTAACATCATCTATCTCTTTCCATTTCTTCCTCCTAACAATGTTGAAAAAAACAATTTCCTGACGAAAAAACAAATAGAACTTATGATCAAGCCCATAGCGCGAGCAACGACATCAATCCCGCACCGAGAAAGAGTGTACAATACGAAACAATTTGGAGTCGAAAATTGCAGCTCATTCTCTTGCTAAGAAAGTCAGCAGCGATCAAATCAACCAAAGCCATATACACCAGAATCCCAGCTGATAGAGAGTCCAAAATGCCTTCGGCAACCAACGCTCCGGTGCTGTTCGGGTTGTAGGTGGAGGAGATCGCCGCACCGATGGCAATCCCAACGGGCGTGGTGGCGGCGAAGAACACAGCCATGAGGGAGGTTGAGAGGGTGTTGAACTGAGCCTGGGAGATGCAGCCACCAAGAGCAAAGCCTTCAAAGAATTGATGGAACGAGAGAGCTGCAATTAAGGGTCTTATAGTACATGGGCTGTGGGACACTCCCAGAGACAGCCCAATTATCACTGAATGCGACACTATTCCAAGCTCCAAAATCTGTCCCATAGAATAATGACGTCAATATTCGGGAATTTTCATTAATCGAGAAGATAAATGGATTACCTGGGAAACAACGACATGTCGTACACCGCTTTCGTCATCGTCGCCGTCGAGCCCATGAGAATGACCATGGGCATGATCATGGAGTGTCACGTGCCCGTCACATGCCTCTTTCCCCTGCGGATGACTATGGCGGTGTTGCGCGGCGTGTGCATGCATTCCGACGATGTGCATCCCGCCGCCATCCTCTTCGCCGAACACTTTCACGTTCGAATCGGCGGCCGGGAGAATCCCAGCCTCCAACCCGTGATCCAAACCCGACCCGACCCGATTCGTTTCTTCTTTCAATCGAATCTGCCCCTGTTTCCTCTCGTAATACTGAGTTCCGACGAAATCGACAAGGAGCGTCAAAAGCGACGCCATCATCGCGAAGAATCCAGAGAAAGGGAATTTCGACCAGGGAAATTCCGGCAAGCACGGATCGGAGAGAGCTTTCGATCCATCGGGAAGCATATGAACAAACGCCGTCGCAAGAATCACGCCGGCAGCAAACGCCTTAGTCGCTACAAAGAGATTGCCATCCGTTTTGAGAAACCGGCGATGTCTGCCGAATAACGGAATGGCAATTCCGAAAACTCCCGATGTGAGAATCGAGGCAATGGCGATTAATTTGAAATTAAGCGCTGCCGAATCATCTCTACAGAGTTCTAACTCAGATACACTACAGGATGAATTGCCCATTGATTCGGATACGGTCCGTACAATGGACTCTGTTTGATTACAAATGGAGAACGAAAATTCCACAGATTAGAAATCAATTACACAAACCTAATCTAACTAAAACCTAGAAACGAAGAATCAATAAATTAATCCATAAATAACAAGAATACAGAAACTCCAAGAAATTAGGAATCCACAAAATTCAGAAAGACTCAGTTCAATTGGAAGCGGAATAGACGAATTAAGGCGAAAACAAACGAGAATGGAGAAATTACCAGAGAGAAGTCGAGTTTGATCTTGGAAACCTTCAAACCAGAGCATCTGCCACAAATCCTGAAGAACAGAAAACATATAAACGAGGAGAAATCAGAGAAACCAAAGAGGGAAGAATGGGGTGGGATTGGAACCTCGAAGAACAGCATGAGAATAGATTAAAATGGTGAAAAGAAACGGCGCCGGAAATGGAATGAGGATGGAAGGGGGATTGTTTGAAGAGTTTATAAAAGAGAAGCGGCAGCGAGCGATCGGAGAAGGAGGAGAAGAGAGAAAGAAGGTGAGAAATGGGGGAGAAGGGAAGAGAGAAGAGTGTCGACATAATGGAATGAAATGGAGGGCAGACGCAGAGGCATGAGCTACAGTTATGACTTCTTGCTTAACAATGAGGCCGATAGTGTCGACACTCTTAACGCCCTCCTTTTGCATTTTTATTTCATTCCCTTTTTGCCCTTCATCTCTCTCTCTCTCTCTCTCTCTCTCTTTCTCTCACTTTTTCTTTTTTAAATAAATTTATTTATTTTTAATTCATTTCTCTCTCTTCCCTAACAAATTTTTTAATTATTATTTTTGGACCTTCTAATTTGGGCCTATGGTCACAACTTACTTTCTGCTTATTTTATCACTTTCAATTTCAATTTTTAAATTTAAATTGTTTCTTATAATTATTTTTTATCAAAAACAACTAAAGCTCCACCATGACCAAGATTCGAATTACCTTATTGATCGAATATTTCAAGGAAACCAGATTCGAATCGCTCCACAAGCAAGATCGGTTATATCTAGCTTAAATGATTATTGTTGATCAAAGAACACTGGTTTGAAATTTCAATCACTCCACAACCAAGATGATTCTACATCAACCTAAACTACATACAATTCTAAATAAATTTAGTCATTCACCAAAGAGAGCAGAAATGTTTTTTTAGTATATTTTCAGTCTTTTTTATAAAATTAACCTAAGTTTTGAAATAAATTAATAAAATATAATTCCTCTAAATTTTAATCCACCCAAAAATAAATAATTAGTTATGCGTGCATTTATAAGGTGTTGGTAGAGTTTAATGTCGTTAAACTTTTAGTAATAAAAAATAAAAAATAAAAAAGTTTGGAAATATTATATGACGTGTAGATAGACGATTGTGGTCCATACTTAAAAACTTTTTAAAATTTTTATTTATAAAGCTTAAAAGTATTAATATGCCAGTTTAAAAATGTGATGAATACTTTTTAAACCTGTTATGAATAATTTTTATTTATTTATTTTTTTAATAGTTGAAAAGTGTTAATAAAACTTTTTAAAAAATTAGATTAAACATAATAAAAAATATTATTGAATTTATTAAGATCTCATATGTTAAAAAGTTAAAATTATTCATTACAAAATTATTTAAAATCCATAAATTAAATTTGGTAAAATGGTAGGAAAATAATTATGTTTTTAAAATTTTAGTGACTAATTGGTGGTGGTTCGATATTGGTTACTCACGATCACCACCATAGCTACCTTCGAGTGGTGGTTTGACATTGGTTATTCACAAACACCACCGTAGCTACTTTCTAGTGGTGATTACTAATTGATTGTTGTTAGATATTAGTTATATACGACCACCATCATAGCCACCTATATAAGTGGTCATACACAAAGAAAGTCTATGACTCACTGTCTTGGGATATGGTGATGGGGTTTTGAGAGATGAAAGCCAGTTCCGTAAACTCTCTCTCTCGAATGAATAAGGAGTCGAGACTGGGTGCTATAGATGCGGCTAAAATCGTACCCGAGACCTTTCGGGGGGAATGACGGAATGAATGGGGATCCCTATCAATATCAAAATAAAGAATATTTAGAGAAGAAGATCGAGATCATTCTTTTTGAGACAAAGGGCTTGACTTCAGCTCTCAAGGAATTGACTGAATTTCCTTAACCGCAAGGTGGGGGATGCCGAAGGCAGGGCTAGTGACTGGAGTTCAGTCGGGAGCTTGTACCTGATCTGCCCGGGAGTCCTATTCCTTCAATAGATGAGCTCCACTTCGCCTTGCTTCTTTGTTGGCTTTCTAGCCTTGCGTTAGCGAGCTAATTCCAAGACTTCGAGATAAGCCATTGGAATAAATGGGCTTTTCCAATGGAGGAACAATATCACCATTTAACACAAAAGTACTGTACGCCTTTTAAAAGCGGAAATTCGCAATTATTGGAAGAATTCGATCCTGCCTGCCGAAGAAAGAGAAGAATAAGCTAGGAAGGGGGCCCGGGGGAGTTTACTCGACCCATTCTCCAGTCTCCCGCACAACGAAAGTCAGTGTGCGACTCAAAAAACTTCAATTGGTACACGCAAGAAATAGGCCAATTCGGCAGCCTTTTGCTGAATTTCTCGTGGGGTCAGATTCTAATCGGTACGAGTCAAGGGAATGGCCCCTTGGCCTCTGATTTCCAATTGATTTTAATTGCAGTTTGATTGTTCATAATTATTACCGTAGTCACACGGGTGTGATGGAAACATTTTGATGGAAACATTACCTAAAGTAATTATCTACCAACGTCTTTTGATTTTTCATTTGATTAGACATATAATGATTTGCATATCTAACGAGTAACTTGGATGTGTACCATATACTTTACACACAGTCCATATGTGCGAGTATGGACTCACCAGTCAGTTCGCACACCGCTGAGCCACTTTTCTTGTCAAGCAAGCATACTCTAGTAGCTTCTTAGGCCGAACACCCGTTAGAATTAGTAACCGTCACTACAGCATTAGGTTAAACATAATGATCGTTCTCCTGCTTGGTCATCGCAGCATTATGATAACCAATGATTGTTTTTCTGTCTCGTAACATACATGTCTGTACTATCGTGAAGGGTAAGGGATATCCCCCAATGCATAAGCACACAATAATACTTGAGGTCCCAACATTTTTTAATTTTCGTTTACTACAACCGCTAGCTAGCATTCTGTGCATATCATATCGTTTTTCATATCATATATCATATCTTTCATGCATACATTGGGGTTGTATTTCATGCTAGTTCGTCGTTTTGCATGTCAATCATATCATTCAAATTACATAAATATATCATATCATAACATTTCATGCTTCAAGACATAACAATTTTCATGGTATACATATCATACCATAACATATGACATTACAATATATCATATCATAAACATGTCAATTTATCACATATCTCGTACCATAACATGTTTCATATCATATCACAATATATATATATATATATATATATATCCGTCATTCACATGTCATATCATAATCATATCATAACGTAAACATTTTGTGGCCATATCGTTCACTAACTTATCATATCCTTAACGTTCTTATACCTATCAACAGTCATATCGTTACAGGAACGTATCCTAATGCTGTCATTCTATCAATCTATCATAACATTATCCCTTTCTACCCATAACTTAACCATATTCTTTTATTAATCGATAGTGACCATATCTCTTTTATCAATCTCTCATATCCATAGTACTTCGATACATGACCTAACATTAATCTTTCATGAGCATATCTTACTCATATCATTACATTACATTTAGTGCATCATTCTCGTATCCTACCTCAAACATATTATTAAACACATTGGACTGTAAGTGTTGTCATACTATATACATATCATATCATAAGCATATCAATCCATAAACAATTCACACATATCGATATATATGACACGTGGAGAACCAAAAGGCACATGTCAACATCAAATATAATCATGTGAATACTAAGGCCACTTACCTTACTGGCTTACGCGGGTGTCACTCATTTAACCAAATTAATATCATTTAATAAAAAAAAAAAAATGTAACATACTCTTTTCAAATGACATACCTCCTCCAAGCTTGAAACTAAATCTGCTCGAACCTTTTGTTTTATTTTCACAGGAAGGAAAGAATTCTAATAGGGATAATTGAGTTAGTTGATTTGATTCGATATTTGATCGGAGAATAATGGTACGTATTTCTTTTAACTAAGTACATCAGTGATTGGGTCAACCAAGAAAACCACTCAGCCTCGTTATCCATTTATGAAGCCTTCAAATTTAATCCAAAAAGATGAGTTCATCCTTTATTTTCCAAAACAAAATCAATGGGTTCGTGAGAGGGAATTACGTAGATTAGATAAGAAGGATCAAAATCCAGAACCAATCAGAGCCGTCGGTTTCTCTGACCATCCCATCAAGTTCAATCTTCGGCACCCATTTCAAATACCCTCGTTTGAAATCCGAGGTGATTTGAGAATAAATTATCTGTTCTTAGTTTTTTCTTTCATTCCTCTTGTTGGAAGAATCCATAAATTGGGAAATCTTTGATTTCTGGTTCATCGTGTAATCGATCGAGGAAGAGGGGTTTTGAGGAATGCGTGTAGAGGATGACGATGATCTTGAAACGAGGGATTCAAGATCGCTTCCGATTTCACCGCCGGCGTACAATTGGCTGACGAATTTCCATCGAGATTTGTTGGCTGGGGCAGTCATGGGCGGAGTAGTGCACACAATCGTTGCCCCAATCGAGAGGACCAAGCTTCTTTTACAGACTCAAGAGAGCAATCTGGCCATTGTTGGGGCTGGGCGAAGGAGATTCAAGGGTATGTTCGATTGTATTTTTCGCACCGTTAGGGAAGAAGGTATTCTTTCTTTGTGGAGAGGCAATGGAAGTAGTGTTCTTCGTTATTACCCTTCAGTTGCCCTAAATTTTTCTCTCAAGGTATCTCCAAATTTGTTCTTGTTTTCTGATATGTTTGATATTAGTTCATACTTACACAACTTGTTCTTCCTGAATCTATGCCGAATGTGAAGGGGAATTGATTGGTTTACTTTTTCTTGTGTTCTTGTTCTTGATAGAGTTTTAAGAATTATGATGCATTTAATGTTTTAGTTCTCATGGCTGAACTGGAATATGGTGAATCAGTAGGAACTAGAAGTTGTAAAACAGATAGGCTCTGAGAACAGCCAGAAGCTACAAATGTTAATGCATTGTCAAAGTCTAGTTATGTCGGTTGTTGATGATAGTGTTAGGAACCACGAACTTCCACAATGGTATGATACTGTCCGTTTTGAGTATAATCTCTCATGACTTTGCTTTTGGTTTACTCAAAAGACCTTATACCAATGGAGATGTATTCCTTACTTATAAACTCATGATTAACCCAGCCGATGTGGTACTCCTCTCGAGCAAAGTACACTATAGAGCCTCCCCTAAGGCCTATGGAGTCCTCAAACAGCCTCCCCTTAATCGAGGCTCAACTCCTTCTCTAGAGCCCTCGAACAAAGTACACCTTTCGTTCGACACTTGAGTCACTCTTGACTACCTTCGAGGCTCATAACTTGTTTGTTTGACATTTGAG